TTTTTTTTTTTAAAGATTTATTTATTTATGCATATAGAACTGGGGTACAGGCCAGAGGTTCAGGGTGGTGAGAGGCTTCACCAGACACAGTGGGGAGCAGAACAGGCACATCAAGGAAACACTGCTGAGGGGAGCAGCGGGCGGGTCAGGAGAGGTCTGCCACGCCATGTGGTCACCTCCGGGGCAAGCGGGGATTGAACTCATGCTGATGTAGCTTTAGCTTCTTAGTGCTGTGCTTTAACCCACTGCGCCACCAGGGAAGGTCGCATAATCCCTTTTAGCTTCACCCATGTTGCTATGAATGGCATGAGTTTATCTTTTTTTGATAATATATATGTAATTTTACAAGATATTGTCAGTAAAATTCTTCTCCTTTGGAATTTTTACCATTTTTGCATCTCTAAGTACAAGGAATGAGAGGGATTGTTCTATAATATTCAATGGAATATTGTCAAGGTTTTGGATTTTTGTCAATCGGTAGGTGAGGAATGGGATCATATTGTAGGTTTAACTTTAACTTTCCTTATTTGGACAAGGTTAAGCATCTTTTCATATGTTTAAGCATCACTGGCAATTTTTTCCCCATAAATTGTCTCTATTCCATTATCTATATATCCATCCTTATGCCAGTGTTCACTGTTTAAATTAATATAGTGTCTTAAAAGGTTATGAAATCAGAGGTGAGCCCTCTAACTTAGTACTTCTTTTTCAAATTGTTTGACTATTAAGTGTTCCTTAAAGTTCCATATGAATTTGAAGACCAACTTTTTTCCATTTCTGAAAAAAAAAAAAAAAAAAAGCCATTGAAATACCACCCAACATGGAGACCCTTTTGGGTGGTATTGACATCTTTACAACATTGACTGTTCTTATTCATGAACAGAGGGTATCCTTGACACTCTTTAGCAGAACATCAATTTAGGCAAAATCATAGAATGCCTTCCAAAGTTACCAAGGAACATATAAATGACAATCTCAAAACTGAATGACTGCATTAAAACATATTTAACTGTAATTCACAAAGCATCACTTTATTTTCATAAAAATAATAGTTACTAAGGTAGAGACAAAATAAAATCGAGATTATCAGTATTTACTTAGGTGTCTATTTTATAGCACACCAGTGAAGGAACATAGTATATCTCTTCAAAGTGGCAGGGGACACAGGGACAAGCACACAAGATTGAAAGCATAGAAACATATTCTCATAAGAACCAAGCAGTCTTTGTTGTTGGAGGACCAAATGGAATCATCATTAATGTAAGTAGAATCAAAGTTCACAATCTGCAGGTCCTTCTTAAGATATGCATGATTCAGTTTATTTACAGTTCGAGCAAAGGCATATTTAGAAGCACAACTATAAGCTTCCAAACGGTACACTTTCTTGAAATGCAGATCAAAAAATGGATTGTCCTAGAAAAGAAGGAGAGAAATTAAAAATTACTAAAGATTGTCTTGGACCAGATTCCTCTAGGCATTTACATCTAGTGAAAAAGTTGATATCAAATCTAACCCTGCTCCGACATGTTATAATCATAATTGCTACTGCTACTAATAGCAGTAATAATGCTTTGCATTTATAAAGTGCTTTTCAGTTTACAAAATACTTTCACACTTTCACATTTGTTACCTAACTCCTAACTCTCATTAAGGGTAGAAGTTTTGCATTATTTATCTTTATATTCCTAATGTTTACCCATTGCAATTAATTTCTCAACAAAGTGTAGTGAAGTGATCTGAAGTAGTCCTATGAAAAAAGAAAAGGAGGTAAACATTGCCCTAAAAGACAAGGAGGTAAAGAGGGAACAAACCAGAATGTTAATAATTTGCTATTCTGTGGTGTGTAAATATTATATACAAACAACTTGGGCATTTGCAATTTTCCTTTTAAATAGGAATCTTCTTTCAGGTAGCAGGAAACAGAATATGAGTTTTGAAGTTAGGTGACCATTTTGATTCCTTATGATGTGACCTACCATGAGAAAAGGTCTTAGTAACCTAACCCTCACTGTCCTTCTCATGTTAAATAAGATTGCCATGAAGTTTACAAGAGAGTAATCTTATAAACTGCCTAGCATGGAGATTACTAAAGATGGCTCTTTCTCCTGAATAGACCTAGAGATTGTCATACCAAGTAGATAACATCTTACTTTATACTATTAAATACAATTTTAAAATAAAGACAATGTTTTGAAAATTAAATGCATAGGGATGATGTGGTGGTAAATACAGTTCTCCACTAGTCACATCTGGCAAGTTTTTTTCTATTGTCATGATTGCTGCTTGAAAGAAGCTTCTGCAGAGAATCTCAATAAAAGGAAATCACTCCCATTCCATTACCAGATACTAATCACATCCCTTATGTAGTTTCCTCCCTGAAACATTTTGTCCTGATTTATGTAGAAAATATGCTTCCTACTTCTTAGATGCTTGGAGAGGATTAATTTTTTTTTCCTTTAGCCTAATAATAAAAGCCTGAGCACTAATGAACATAGAATATAAGTCCTCCCCTCCCCCTTCCCTCTTCTTTCCTTCTTTTCTGCTCTCTCCTCCTCCCTCCCAGCCTCTAATTCCATCCTCTCTCCATTTTTTCACCTTTCAATAGAAGCTAAGAGGGGATATAACAGATAATTCAGAAATGTCTTGTTTATAGCCAAGATAATAGTTTCCAGAGAGATCCAGGACAAGAACCAAGGTCTCAATCAGCCCAATCCCATTTTGCTACATCATCCTCTCTTCTGTTGTACCACATCACTCTCCATATCCCCAGTCACTTTGATTTATGTTTTATAAATTGACTTCAATTTCAATTCCATTCCATTTTAAAGTTGACAACTTCCTGGCTTGAAATTACTATACTTAAAAGTGTATCATTGCTATTGAGAAAAATATAATAAATGCTGACTCCTGGGTATTCTATTCCAAGAGAGAGAAGTAGAAATTCCCAGAACAGCTGGGATCTTTTTATTACTTCATCCATAGAAAAGAAATCTTTAAAAGAACTACAACTTTTCTTTTGGCAACGTAATATTTTAGGTCCTAAAGTTATGAGAAAAATAGATATCTTCACTTCTTTTTCATTAACAAAGATAATAACCGTCAAGTAGGAAAGGGAAAATTTAACAATGTTAAGATGGAATTAAAGGCCACGATAGGTCAGGAGAAAATAGTGACAGGCTTGATGAATGTATAAATAGGCACTCAACAACTTGTAGACATACATAGGACATTAATAATATTTGGGAACTTGAGAAAAAAAACAAGAAAAAAATGGCTAAAAAAGTAGACATGGTTAATTCCTGAAAATATAGGTTAGTGAAGTTGATGTTGCCATCTGGCAAAATTAAAAGGAGCACAGAAATTTTGGCCAGTACATAAAATTACAAAAAAGAAAACATCAATAGTAATATAAAAATTGCAATCTTACTAGTTGTTAAAATACTGATTTGTTTCTTATACACATACATCTATCCATATGTATTTTATATTATAAAGTTACAAATTTTCATTTTTAATAAGATGACAAACTGAATTGAGATAATATAGAAAGTTTTATATCCAGGTGACTTAAAAAACTTATTAAGCTATGAATAATTATGTTCAAAGAATTCTTAACATGATTTTTAATGGCTGCATAATATTACATTGCATTGATAATAATTAAGTGTTGAATATTTAGGTAAAATGCATTGCCAAACAATAATAATAATAATAGTAGTATGTGTGCTTAGGAGAGAAAGCAATGAAATCCAGCATGCTTTCACCAAAAGGCTGTGACAAACAGAAAAATTTTAAAATAGATGATAATTTCAAGCTAAGTGAATACAGTATTTATTGATTTTAGTAAAGACCTAAGGGGCAAAATTTAGATATTCAAACTAGAAAATGAGGATTAAGTACTTATGGCCACCTAACTATCTTCAGAATCTAGCAGGTCTTATATATCACATAGGCTCAATAAATATCTGAATGAACAAATGAATGAATACAAAAATTTGTGAAGCTGCTAAACAACCAATCCAAAAAATACCAAAGAATGTATTTCTGAGTAAAGTCTAGTTCTAACACTTAATAATGATATGATCTTGGGCAAGTTAAATAATATCTTTGTCTCATTTTTCTCATCCATACATTTAGAGTGAAAATAGAATCTACTATGGGATTTGGTGGTGATCATGTGAAATAAATGTAGAGAACATAGTGTGGTTTCTGCCACGTGGTAAGTACTTACTAGGTGTGGAAAGGCAGTGATAGCGCATTGTTAGTAGTGTAATATTAGTACAAAAGACAGTATCAATTACCAACTTATGCTCTTAACCCTATGTGCTTCATCATTTTTATTATTGACTTGAATAAAGTCCTGACTGTTATTCTCTGTAATCCATATCATAGTATAGCCAATGTTAAAATATCAATATATTAGATGATTTATTAGGTTGAAACAATAGGCCAAACTAAGAATATGGCATTTAAAAGTATAAAGAATAAATGAGCTTAGGTTCTAATTCCTTCAACAACACCACAAATATGCGGTATTCCTGATATCTACCAGAAAAAGGCTATGATAAAAGCTGACAGGTCATGGTCTCAGTTCTTTTGAAGCTTTCCACCTAGAGGGTAGACAGACTGTACCAACAACTGCAGTTTGTAATAATGTGGTTTTTAACATACTGCAATGAGGATATGTGGGTTAGGAGACACCAGTATGAATTTTAAAATAGGTGATAATTTCAAGCTGTCCATGCCAGGGGTATGAGGACAGCGAACATGCCAGGGTATGGATACCACATCTGTCACAAAACAGAACACTTACAGTTTCTGCTTCTTTTCCATCGATCTTCTGCAGATCATTCAAAGACCACTTTTTTGTTACTTCGTATTTTTCATCTAGACCTACTCGGTAGTGTTTCACTATGTTTATTTTTACTTCTTTACTTTTGGTCACTGTAGGGCAGAAAAACACTTGGTTTATACAAACTCTCAGAAGATAATAAATCACCCATTATCACACTTTTCAGTATTTCTATCTTATTTTCATGTAATGACCTTGAGCCTCCATTATTCCCACATCCCAATTATGAATCCCGAGGTACTGAACTTTCTAGAGTATGAGCCACAACTGGTTCACTGTGTTTGTTTTCTTCTTGCTGCAGTTGTGGTTACACACTGCCATGGGGATGTCTGTCAGGAACACTGAGCTGGATGCTTTGAGCTATGAGCTTTGTGGTGGAGAATGAAGTTCAACTCAGGGCAGGAAATAGGCCTAGTGTTAACATACAGTCAGTGCTAAAGTGTTTACCAGGACACGTAGAAATTTTAATTCATGACAATATAAGCAAGTGAGATCAGGAAAGTAAACAGTTCTATCACACAAAACAAAGAATTGAAGAGCGAAGTGTAAATGTTACTGTGTGCTTTCTTTTAAAGTTACTTTGAGATTTCTAATGTAGAAATGCTTTCATTACAGTTACTATTGACCTGCCTGGTATTACTTGAGATTTTTTAATCCTCTCTAATGTGTGTTTAAAATTCTAGTATTCAACATGCCTCTGAGACAAAATTTTAGTACTACACTTTGAAAGGTGTGGGACATATCATCACTTATTTTATGTGAACAAGATGAGAGAACTAATTTCCTGACTTTAAAATAATGTCTTTGGACTCAATGTGAAAACAACAGATGAATCAACATTTGATGGCAGGGTTCCTGAATTGAAAATTATCAATGAGTTAATAATGAAGTATTTACTGTCTGCTAATTTCCTGATAGAACTATTGTGAATGTAATAAGGGGTACAAGTATGAGTCATAGTCCCTGCCTTCTAGAAATGCATGGTTTGGTTGAGGAGGTGAGGCTAACATTCATGAGCCATATATAAAATGAGGATGTACAGTTACATTGTAAAGGAGTGCAGGAGGAATTAAATATCTTAAACTTTCAGAGTGGACAGTGTTACTTAGAGAGTTACATGCTACTTCTGTCTGCTAAGAGTAAGACTAGCATTTGTCTTTACAGGTATACCCTCTTTTGAGTCTAGAAAATACCACTTTGCTTATCCTCCAAGATAAGTAGGTAATAAAGCAATATATTACAATATAATAATGGTGATAAGTAAGTGGCATGGAGCAGAACGCTTATTAACAAGAGTTAAAACAGGAAGAAGGCTGAAATACCTGAAGAAGGAATTATGGAGGGCCTCCCTGGTGGGTGCAGTGGGTTAAAACACAGCACTATGAAGCCATCCACAGCCACTGCAGCAAAAGTTTGATCCCAGGCCGGGGAGGTGACCCACATGACATGGCAGACCTCTCCCATCTGCTCCTCTCCTCAGTAGTAGAGATCTGCTTGTTCAGCTCCCTGCTCTGTCTCTGGTCTCTCACCTCCTGCACTTCTGGCCTATACCTCAGTTTTGTATGCATAAAGAAACTTTTTTTTTTTAAAGAAGGAATTATTGAAGAAACAAAATTTGAGATAGGGCTCTAAAATTAGTATATTATATATATACTAGTATATAATATATTAGTATATTTAAACAGAAGGCATTGTTGGCTGAAGGACAGCATGAGGAACCAAATGGGTGATGGGAGCTCTGCTTCACCAGGTGAAACTAGAAAAGTTGACTGTGCAGCTTAGTTGATATTAGGACACAGTAGGGATAGCTAGGCTGAGAGGTTTTTGAAAGACTCCTGGATCTGAAAAGTGACAAGAACTATTATAAACTTTGGTGTCCGATTCCTTCCTCCCCCGCCCTTGGTGAAAGCAGGCCTGGCCAGTGAAGACTCCAGAAGTAGACCTGGCAGAGGGAGAAATTCTCCTCTTAAGGTTCAGTGATAGTGAAGTAAGGCAAACTGCTGAGCTCTGAGGTGACAGAGCTGTGGGACAAGGAATAGAGGGTGAGTGGGTGGGAGGGAACAATGACTTTAGCAATGACATATGAGAATAAGATACAAGTTAATGGCTTCTGAATGGAGGTACAGACGTGGGACCCTTCTGTATGAGTAGGTCTTCTAGATTAGGGTTATCGGATAGAGGTGAGACAGAGCAGAGAAGAAAAAGCATGAACAGAGAGGTCTGAAAACGGGCCATCAGGAAAGAGACAAGGCAACATTGCAATGCTCTGGAAGTCAAGAGGACAAAGCCTATCAAAGGTTTGGAGACAATCCCATGAAGCCATTTTGTTGGGTAACATCCTGGCGCTGAATCTGACTTGGGCATGAGTGTTGATTTCCTCCTATGGACAGTTTCTCTAGAATGGTGAGAGCCTGCAGACAATGTTTGCATGCACCAACTAATACTGAGTGAGTCCCTACTATGTGCCACTTCTTGGGTTAGGTAAGATTAAAAGAAAGGAAATAAGAAGGAAGACTCAAGCCCTCCCCCCTTTCTCTCCCCCTGCAGGCATAACAGGTCAAAGCACAGCAGTGTGAAGCCAGCTGCAACTGCTTTAGTGCCAGTTTCAATCCCCGGCCAGGGAGGTGACCCACATGGCGCAGCAAACCTCTCCTGCCTCATCCACTGCTCCCCTCAGCAGTTACTTTGTCAGTCAGCCTGTTCTGCTCCCCACTCTGTCTTTGGTGAATCCTCTCACTGCCCCTACACCTCTGGCCTGTACCCTAGTTTTGTATGCATAAATAAATCTTAAAAAATAAAAATAAAAAAGACTAAAGGCTATCAATACAATCACCTATCCAAGAGGTTGCAAGAGGGACTACATATTCTGGGAACAGAAGGAATGATGGCGGGGGCATGTCCTGGAGAGGACCTTGAACAGTTTGTCCCACCAGAAGGCATTTGTGTCTGTCTAGACAAAAGCTTGACCTTAGAGTTGAAGGACTTTGCTCTTGTTCTGACTGGCTGCCTCATTTGCTGTGTAGGAGTGTAGGAAAGAATGGAGCTAGGGTGATAAGGACAAATAGCTTCTACCTCATCCACATGTTATGAGAACCAGCCAAGTGTAGATCCATTCTTTCAATTTTACTCATTTGATAAATATTTGAGGTACCCTGTGTGTCAGGCACTGGGGAAGAAATTCCCAAAGGGCAATGATGCTGCTCTTGTTAAGATTACAAAGGCAGGGGCTTTAGAAAGAAAACACATGAGCACAGGGCTGTGAATGAGACCCAGCAGGATAAATGCCAGCATGGAAAAGGGACATTTTCATCTCACTGAGGTCAGGGAAAGTTTCCTGAAGGTCATTTGAATTGTAAAGAACAGTGAGAGTTAGCAGAATGAAGAATGAGGAAAAGGGAGTTCTAGAATAGCACATGTTCAAAAGCATTAAGTACTTGGCACTTTTGAAGTCTTATCAGTATTTGGTATTTTGGGTATGAAAGGGAAGGTGGTTAGGTGGCAAGTTAGGCAAGAGCTTGTTCCTGAAGGATCCTGAATGCTAAGCTGACTTCAAAAGTTTTTCAGAAACTATGTGTGTGTCAGGGAAGGAGAAAGGGATTGTCACTGGAGGATATTAAATTTCCTAGGATGAGTTGTATGGGAATGGAGAAATGTTAAGAAGGTGGGAACTACCAATCGTCAAGTTTTTTATATTGATGGTTACTGCCCCACAATATCAAAGTAAGAAAATTCAAAAATGCTTCTGATACAATGATGCAGCCAGAGACAGTGCTGTCACCTTCATTTGGCCAATAGCCTGCTCTGGAGACAAGGAGGCTCCAAGAATGGTCTTTAGCCAAGAACTGAAGAAGTCTTTCAGGCTGGAGTGGACCCAATCCCTAATTTCCACATTTGAACTCTGTTGCCAGCTAAAATTAAATGGCCATATCCACATTAATGCGATGGCAAAGTGGAAACTTATCACATTGTCTTAAAACAGAAATGTGTTTACATAGTCAAAATGTTAGAGAGCTGTTTTCAGTAACATCAGAGGCCCCATTACATAATTACCATGCAGTGAGTAATGTCCGGAGACCCAGGGGATTTCAGAACGAACCTGCTCTAGTTTGAGCATTTTAGTTAGTATTTTCAGAATGATAATTTTGACTTCATCTCCACCATTATTTTCACCTTTAATCTCAAAGTAAACACTGTCATTAATACATGCTTTTATTGCCATAGTAAAATAAGCACTATTATTCATGAGCCTAAATGGAAAGGAGATGGAACAATTGAACTAATCTAATATGGCAGAATAGAAAAAGAAAGTAAGCTGCACAGAAATACTCTAAATGAGTAAATGATATTTTATTGCTGGATTGCGGTGGAACTCGTAACTCTCTGTTCCACTCCTTGCTGAAGGTGCTCAACATTCAAAGTATGGAGAGACCTGTCTCAATAACTGTGATGTGATCTGTTTGATTCACACAACAGAAATTTTCTGAGTAACAATGATCAAAGACTTAGGACTATCAAGCATATCCTTGAATTTAGTTTAATCACAGTTCTCTCTAATGCATTTGAGATGGTCATAAAGATAATGATGCTGCATTTGGGGAAGTACTCTCAAACTTAATGGATGTGACATGAAGGAGAGCAGGGAACTTACTTGTGAAAAGAACTAAGAAGTCCTAAAATGTTAACTATTATCTGAAATATGACCATATTGCCTTCTCTTTCTCATCCCTGGGAGAACTTTATTTTTTCCTTATGTCTTGACAGAATCACTGAATTGCACTAGTCAAAGTGACGATCTGGTCATTTGAACATGTTACTTAAAGATGTTCTATTTGATCATTTTCTAGATGAAAACATTCAACCCTAAAGAATTTCTGTTTCACATGTTTACAATGAATCCCAGTTAGAAAGATTCAAATCATTTGTGAAAGATAGCAAGGTGACTCTGTCCACAGTATCTCTCCTACAACTTGGATAAACCAGAAATAAAAACCACATTCATTTAAACACTGAATTTAGGAGACTTTTACCCCAATGCCAGGAGGACAAGTTCAGTTAGTTAATATAGTCACAGGGGGCATAAGATATATTTAGTAATTTAGATATATGAATCATTGTGATTATTTTCAAGAAGCTTTGCTCTAAAAATACTTGTATACTAATGTTATATGATGTGTGATCAGCTTTGTAAAATTAAGATGACAAATAAGTATAAAATCATTAAATGTTAATTTTGGAATAAGCATCTTTAGTATATAAGTCAATGTACTTTAAGGTATGGTGATTTGATGGTTCAGATCTAGCACAGTTTCTGAAATTCTTTTGTTTGACTTTCTTTTCCTGGACTAAATATTTTTTCTATCTTGTTGATTTGTCATATCCCCACAACTATGTATTTATTTGGAAATTGCAGGCACCATATTAGACAAATAACACCATTCTTGACTAATTATTACTATACTCATTAAGACTCATATAATTTTTAAAATAATATAATAGTTTATTTTTACATCATTTTGTGCATTTTTTCATCTCAGTTGTAATCCCTGTGGGCTTCCCATCACCAAATCACCCGTGTGCTATCACCATAGTCCAGTGCATTTCTCTCCTCCCACTGTTTTTGATCCCATTCCCCACTCCACCCCCACAAAATGTCTCATCTATAGCTGTTCATTATTATTATTTTCTCACCTGGTCTTTATTCTCCTGCTATGAGTGAAACCATCTGGTATTTTTAGGAGTTATATAATTTTAAAGAAACCTTTGAAGAAATTTTTACTTAAAGATGTTCTACTTCACTAGTGGTTTTGTTTTTGACACCTTTAGAAAGACCCTCTAAGACAATTATCAGGAGGGAAATTACAGCAACTTGTGTTCTCTAATGTTAAGATGTGTGCCTTAGAAAATGTTAACTATGAACACTCAGTTTCTAAACACTTTCCTTCTAAGTCTCTAAAAAAACACTAAACACCATGGATTAGGAAAAGGGAATGCTCTATATTAAATACAATAATGGCAGAAACAATTCTGCCTAAATTCAGCACACAACACACATACACACAATACAGGTAAGGCAAATCATGGTGGAGTGCAGAAGTCTATTTCTAACTTTGGACAACTTTCATGAATTTTTAAAAATTGAAAGAAAATCTTGATTTTAGTATAGTTTAGAGAAATTCCCTCATCCTTAAAGTTTCATCTCATGAAGTAATTTCCACTGTTAAAGGATGTTTCTATGAGCATACTTGCTTGGAAAAGAGTCTTTAAAAGATCATTTCTCACTCAAAATCAGCCCTTGGGGAAAACACCTAAGGTTTTTTTTTTCTTTTTCTTTTTCTCTTGCAGCATAAAAAGGAGAGTCTACTTGTCAGGATGACTAGAATATAGCTGTATAACTCAACTACCCAATGCGCGCGCGCACACACACGTACACGGTGTTCTCCAATGAATTTTTAAAACTGAGTTCTTACACAATAAAACTGCCTAACATGCAAGTGAATGAAATAAAAGAATGGAGACAAAAATAATGAAATCAGGTAACGAAGCCCAGTTTTATTTCTGAACAGTTGAGCAAAATATTCTTGCTATAATATTTTTTCCTGTCTTCCATTCTCTCACTTCAAAGAAAATTCCGTAGAACCCCAAATTCTTAAACTTGCTATATTCATGCACAACCAAGTAGAAGCAGGTGCTGTTACTACATAGAAAAACAAAAACCAGTGTGTAGGAAAATACAGAAATTTTATTCTATAGAAGACTTTTTTCTGTAGAAGAAGGGAGCCAGTGAAGAGTTATTTACGGTATGAAATGATAAGAGAAAGAGCAGATTACCTGACACGCAGAGGTAATACCTGTCCTGGACGGAGAACTCTATTTCAATAAACTCGTACAGATTCTGAGAGAGAGGCTTAAACAGTTTCTTCTGCAAGTCCTCCTTTACCAAAGATGACATTTCCTCTAGGTCCACTTGGCTTGGTCTTGACTCAAGCTCACCTTTTCTTTCCCTTTGAGCCCTAGATTTCGAGCTTTGCACTCTTGATGAGCCGTGCCCACCCCGACTCTTCACTCTCTCCTCATTCCAGCGAGGCTCCTGGGCACCAAGCGAGTCAGACCCCTCTCGGCTGTCTCTGTTCCTGAGCAGCTTCTGTAGCAGCGCAGCAGCAGCCCGCCACAGACCCGTCACTCTTTGGCATCCAGGCTTAAGGACTGCTCTCTGGAGCTCTCCTGTGGTTTGTTGATGGGGAACATATTTATGAACACGAGCAGATAGGAGCAGATAGACGTGTGGAGTCCTCTCGTTCTTCTCCCTTCGTAGCCTTCTCCCCCTTCACATCACTGTGTGGAGGAAGACCACTACTTCTGCTTGATGCCATTATATAAATCAGTTGTCTGGCTCTATTGATTGGGATCATCTTCCATTAAGAACTTAGCTATCATCGACAAGAGAAAAAGCCTCAGTGCCTGCTCCTGACACTTCTAACAAGTCTCTCTTCTTCTTTTCTTTCCCCTCCTGCAAGTCATACATATCTTTGCTTCATGGGAATCAGCACTGATCTTGGGGTTCAGCTTATTTTTCAAAGAGGCTCACTATAATGTCTTCAGCCAATCTCAAAGAAAAATTTGCTAGCCATCTGCCAGGGCAAAGCATTGTGCTTGTTTCTTGAGAGGGTAAATTTCCTATCTTTAAGGAACTTATAATCTAATGGAGATGACTTTGCCAAATAATTATCATAAATGTTTAAAAATGATGAATGTTACAAAAGAGAAGAGAACATAGAGAAGATATTTGTAGCTGGAAAGTACCAGAAAATGTCATGGGAGGAGACATGGCTCTTGAAAGATGAAGGGAAGGTATAGAGGAGGAGCATAATTTGTAGCTCACAAATGGAACTGAAAACCCTGCATCAGAGGGGCACAGGAGGTGTCTGGGAGGACAGGAAGTAACCCACTTTTCCTACTTTGTCACCTGGGTGAAGAGGAAAGATAAAGTTGAATAGACACATTGGGGTCAGGGTATTGAATGGCAGTTTAAGCCTAAGGACTCTATTCTGTAGAAGAAGGGAGCCGGTGAAGACGTGGAGGCATTCAATCATTCAACAAATATTTTTTCAAGTGCTGAGTCTGGATCAGACTCTGCTTTAGGAATTGGGAATATGATGATGAAAAGACTAGATAATTCCTTGATCCTGTGGAGCTTACTGGGGTTGATGGAAAACAAAGAATTAAAGCAGTGATCCATTCAGGATATGCTCAGGGTAAGTAACAGAATACATGACAAAGTCATAAGTAGGAAAAGACTACAATTAGTCTCTCAAAATAGGGGGTTCAGAAGTGGCCCCATAGTGAGCTCAGGGCTCATAGGGCCCCAAGTGCTTTCTATTGTTCTGATCACCCATCTGCAGATAGATTTTTGTTCAGCAACAAAAATAGGAAGAAATGACAGGCAGAATCCAAATGGTGCTCAGAAATCATTATCAATCTTCTCTTTATATTTCACTGTCCATAACCTGGTCACACGGCCATCCTAAGGGAAGTTAATGTTTATTGTTTTTGTCTTTTGTCATGGGAAAGAGAATTTTCTAACCAGGAGGAAGGGGGTAGGGATAACTGTAAGCATGGAAACCAATAGTGTATTCATGGTGACTCCAAAGAAAAATTAATGACAGGTCTGTGGGTAGGCTAAATTGGGGTGTCTTGCTGGGCCTAATTTCCTCATCTGAACAATGCTCTCCAGAGTCTTTTCCCACTTTAATGTTCTCCTATTCAGTTTGTGATTCCGGGAGTCTATTAAGATTGGATAAGGAAGCCCTCCCCGGTGGTACAGTGGGTTAAAGCACAGCACTGCAAGCAAGCTGCAACCACCTCAGTGAGTTCGATTCCTGCCTGGGAGGTGACCCACATGGTCCAGCAGAACTCTTCTGACCCTCCTGGTACTCCCCCTCTGTCTCTGGCTAGTCCTCTTACCCCCCCTGCACCTCTGGCCTGTACCCCAGTTCTGTATGAATAAATAAATATAAAAAAAATGAATAAGAAGCCAGAGAACTAGTGCTTTATTTTTGGATTTTGGAAAATGGAGAAGCTGAATGTAAGATGTATTTGGATAATAACATCAATCAACCACAGTACCTCACTGGATGTGAGAGGTGGAAGGGACAATATGATTCTGCTTTCTGCCTCTCGAGGGGTTGAGTAAATGGGCTCACATCATAGGAGGCAGACGAGAAAGTTATTTTCAGTTTTTAATGTGAAAAATTCTTTCCTGGCTGTTTTAAACTTGTTATGAAAAAAATAAAAGACTGATATGACAACAGAGCAACTCATCAACAGTATTGTCATTGAAGTTTCAGATCTTTATTTGTGTGATCATTTTGTATCTTTCTTCTATGGGAGATTACAAATTTTATGAGGTTAGGAAGTGTGTTTTTCCTTCTTGTCATATATCAAGGGTGTGTGGAGTGCAGTACTTAGCATATCACAGGCATTCTTGTATTAACTCAATCGCTCATTAATTTATGCATAAATACTAAAAGGACAAAGAAAGGCATGACTTAACTTTTTTTTGTTTGCTTTGGCATAGGTGTTTTTGCAGTGGTATCTCCTTCCAACTGGAGTGGGCAGTGTTTAGACTTACCAATCACTTCTGATTGAATACCCATTTGTTTTTGTTGCTGTGAATGCATGGTCTTTAGTGAGAGTCTTAAATGCATTTCTGGAGGAAATACAACAACTATCTGGAGTTCTTAAGGAAGGAGTGGCTATGTAATCCAGTATAGTCTTAAGTAAAATAAAAATTAGAGGTTCACAAACTGACAGTGACCTTTTATTTCCAAAATAAAATGTTCACTGTTGATGACTAAGGTAACAGTATTTATTGCAGGGTTCTTCATAGCAGGTCTCTTTGCTGATTAAGCCTCTGCAAGTCTATTCTTCCTTTGCCCAAAACCTGTTGATTTTCTTTTATAATATCAAATATGTTTAATTATGTTTTACCTATTGTTTTAACTGCATAGGGGGAAAGTCATGTTAATGTTAACAAATAATCTTAACGTTTTAACTTGTTGTAAAGAACAATCTACCAAAACATCTTAGTTGTAAAGAATCAAATGATTCAATCTCAAAAGATGTGCAAATGACAATTCATTAAAATTCATTTCTTTGGAAACAAAGACAATATTTAAAGGCCCTATGTTTTTGATCTATTAACAAAGAAATAAATATTAAATGTTGGGGGACTAACATAAATGCAAATCATAGAAAACCAAATAGACTCCCCAAAATATTCATTATGATATTTGATAGAATTATCAAAACATTAACTTTCCTCATACGAGAAGTTTATTCTAGCCTCTACATTTATTTTCTGAAATGCTATATAGAATTGTCAGTGGGGATGAGAAATAGTACACTATCAAAAATTTGATATTTTTCTGGAAGCACTTATTTTTAAATATCCAGTATCCTCCAAATGTATTTCCTACAGTGAAGACATTTTTAATATTTACTGTTTACTTCATGTCAGAAGAAATGAAGCTTATTACTAGATAGCTATAGCCCAGCAGGCATACGGGAGGCAAAAAGAAAAGACTTCTTTGCATATAAGATCTATAGCTAATTAAGCTTTTGTTAATTAGGAACTGAAGCCTTGGTTCCAAAAGATCCACAATTGGAGGAGTGGACTATAATCTCTAAATCTATAAATAGTCCAGATATATTTTATTTTTGCCATTTTTTTCAGAGATACTTTTTTTCCTCAGAGACAAAGAAACTTTGAAATTTTCAGCTTTAAAATTTTTATATCCCTGCACACTAGTAACAACCACTAATGGGAAGCTGTTCGGAGGTTTTTCAAACTGCTAAAAATGGAACTTCCATATGACCCAGCAATCCCACTCCTACATATCTAACCAAAGGACATAATAACATTGACTCAAAAGGACACCTGCAGCCCTATGTTTATTGCTGCTCTATTTACAATAGGGAAGATGTGGAATCAACCCAAATGCTCAAAAATAGATAACTGGATTAAGAAGATGTGGTACATATACACAATGTACTATTCTATTACTCAGAAATCAAAAGGATAAATTCATGCCTTTTGCAGCAAAATGGATAGAGCTGGAAGGGATCATGCTTAGTGAAATAAGCCAGAAAGTAAAAAATAACAGATGATTTCACTCATAGCAGGAGTATAAAGCATCAGGGAAAAAAAAAAAAACAAAAAGCAATTGCAGTAAAGTAAAAATGAAAAACAACGAACAACTATAAGCCAGAGACATTTTATGGGGGGGGGGTGTGTGTGAAAGCAGAGGGGAGTAGGATCAAAACTGGGGTGGGAAGAATGCACGGGATTATGATGATGACACATGCGTGAATTGGTGGTGGGAACTCCACGGGGATTACAACCGAAATGAAAAAATGCACAAAATGAAGAATAATGTAAAAAAAAATTTTTTTTATATTTTATATTCCCATTCAACCACAGACCTGTTTATCTACTTAAGAAACATAGGAATGTCCTTCCTGTTCATAAGAAACAGTGCTAATGTATGCAAATATAGGATCCTCTCGTTTGCACATTCACACATTATAGGGATGATGGGTTTGCACAGAGCTCAGGGCTAAGGCAGTTAATTGGTCCTCTGGAATTAGAGTTGGCCCATTTGCAGATTTGTTGAACCAAAGTTCTACAGAGCAGGTGCAAGTGGAAATAGTGATAGAGTGCAAACAGAGGCTGGCCCCCAATTTCTTTTTCTATTTTTCTACTGGAAATGGATTTTTAGTAAGATCCTACCAGTTTCATGCTCTATTGGTGACATTAAGCTCCTTCCTCCTTTGCAATTTGGTCTTTCTTAAGTGGTCCCATGATGGCTTTCTTGTCCATAGTCCAGAGGCGCCATGGTCAAATGTGGGGGTAGTATTGATGAATTTCAGATCAGTCTTCTTCAGGAATGCTGTGCTCGCCCTCCAACTCCATCCCCCTATTCTTAGCCTTCTTCCATCCCATCTAAAGTTCACAGATCTGCTGTCAACTTTCAAGGGTTTATTTAAAATTTGTCTTTGACCCACATGTCTGGTTTTTCTACATTCCACCTACAAGTGACACTATCCGGTATTCATCTTTCGCTTTCTGTTTATTTCATGTATCATAATTCCTTCCAGTTCCATTCATGTTGCTGCAAATGGCATGAGTTTATTTTTTGATCACTAAGTATTTCCATTGTGAATATGCACTACATCTGTCCCATGTTTATTCCTTTTACCTTTAGTGATGCTGTTAGTAACAAAATACTATTGTAGCTAAGTTTTATTAACAGAATCTTTAGCTTGACACTATGTGTGATAATATATCAAGCTGAAAGTGTCATTATGATGTTATATTTCTTAAA